ATTGAGATCCGCGGCTGCGACGCTCCGACCTCGGCAGCGAGATCGGCGGCTCCCACTGTGGTCACCAGATTGTTCGCGGGAAAAATCGTGTCTTTCTTCATTGATTCCATTGCACTCTTGTAACTGTTTTTCGATTATAAAAATCCGGTCTTTTTATAAGATCCGGTTACAACGGGGAAAGATTATAACTTTTTATCCTTGTTTGTCGAACAAATCGCGAGCTCCTGTTTTGCGGTCGCTCGCTTTGTGGGTTCTTTGCCTGCGCCGGGGTTTATCCGTGGACCACCGTGCGATCTAGATCCGGTCGGATCTACGCAGTATGACGGGTATTATTTTGCTAAGGAAATAATAGCCGAGGGTACTATTTCGCTAAGGAAATAGTAGCCTTTAATTCTCGGGATCAAAGACCAAGCTTTGATCCGGAGTACGTCTGCATAGATCTGAGATCCGGTCCTCTCGAACTCTTGCCTTATTTGGCGTTGACGATCGCCGAGCACCAGATCTGGATGAACAAGTCCTCGAAGTCCCAAAGCTTGGATCTTTTTTTAGATATGAGTCTTCAATCCAGTAGGGCTTCGCCTCCAAAAATTCCAACCTTTGAACAAATGAACCACCTCTCCTATTTATAGGCCATCTTCACTATGCCCGCGCACAAGTGGTCGACACACCGAGCCACCTCAAGGTGGCTCGGATTTGGCCGAGCCACCTAGAGGTGGCTCGGTTTCGGCCGAGCCCTCCCTCTTGGTGTTGGGTTTCGTCGTTTTGTCGTTGTATCCATTTTTCGGTTCCGCCGTGATTCGGTTGTGTGGTTGATTTAGACTCTGATTCGTTGACCTGATTTGGCAGTAAATCTGATTCCTGATTTGGCAGTAAATCCACTTCTGAGTTCGAGTCCGAAACTGATCTTGATTCGATCGTGATTCGTCCGAGTCCGCCCTTGGTTGGATGACTCGTTGACTCTTCAACCCGTTAGCTTGATTCCGCATGCGAGTGGATTTATTCCGTTGTTTGCATGCGGTTCATTAGCTTCGTAGCCTCGTTAATCCGCTTCGTCGCGTATCGCTTGGCTTCGGCGTTGTGGACTAACAATCGTGTCTGCATACGTCGCCCGATGGTCGGTTCGTCGACTCGGCGTTGTCGAGCTATGTTAAGGGACCTATAGGCAGTTTTATACGCCTACAGGTGAGACAGGAATTCTTTCGATCTAATCTCTTGTTGTGCACCTTGCGCGCCGGAGGTGCTGCCGAAATTTCCGCTGCGCACAACAAGTGGTATCAGAGCTCCGAGTTAGACTTGAGAGCTTGTTTGAAGGATTCACTGAAGGATTCCTATTTGAAGATTAGATCGACAACATGGATAAAATAAGCACATCGGGATCGTCTCTTACGAAGACGATACATAGTTTGAGCATCAATAACATGAAGATTGATGTTCCGAAGTTCGACGGTAAGATTAACTTCGGATTGTGGAGGTGTCAGGTGATGGACGCCTTGGACGCTCAGAATTTGGAGGAGACTCTTGAGTTACAAGAGAAACCTGCCGAGATGGAAGCTAAGGTTTGGAAGAAGATGAATAGTAGGGCGTGTGGAGTTATTCGGTCATGCTTGACGCCGGATATTATTTATGATATGACGAATAAGACATCGACGAAGAAGATATGGGAAACACTCAATGAAAAATATCTTACTAAGAGCATTGAGAATCGGCTTCACTTGAAAAAGAGGTTTTACCAGTTCAAGATGAAGAGAGGAGTTTCCATTAGGGAGCATGTTAACAACTTCACAAAGCTACTTTCAGACATAGCCAATATGGATATCATGGTTGAGGATGAAGACAAGACGATGCTACTTTTGTGTTCGTTGCCCGATGATGATTATGGTACTTTTGTCCTAATTATGATTAATAGAAGAACTACTGTTAGTTACAAGGAGGTGACCTTAGCGTTGGTTAATTATGAGTTGAGGAAGAGTGTGGATCAGTCCTCCAAGAAGGCATCGGGAGATGCATTAGTAGTTCATGGCCGTGGTTCAAACCGAAGCAGAAGGTCGCAGTCTAGAGGTGCACATCGTGGGATTCGTAGAAATCAGTGTGCCTTTTGTAAAGATGATGGACATTGGAAAGCTGAATGCCCAAAGTTAGATTAAGCCGAGAAGAATAAGGGGAAAGCTGTACAAGCTTCAGAGGTGAATGTTGTCAAGACTAGTGACAACAATTCAGATTCAGATTCTTCAGGCTATTCATTGTTTACACTACCGTCAGTTTGTGTTGCCAACTCTACAGAGTGGATGTTAGATTCCGGTGCTTCATACCATGTTTGCCCTAGGAGGGATTGGTTCTCCAGCTTTCAGAAGTTGGAAAGAGAGGATGTTGTGCTCATGGGTAATGGACATGCATGCTCTATTGGTGGTATTGGTACTGTTCGGATTAAGATGAATGATGGGGTGATTCGGGAGTTGAATGAAGTGAGGTTCGTTCCACAATTGAAGATGAACATCATTTCATCTGGAGCTTTGGAGGCAGCAGGCTATAAGGTGACCTTGGCGGACGCACGCTTGAAGGTCATATTGAGGTCCATGATTGTGATGAAGGGCGTCAGAAGGAGCAATTTGTATTATTTGCTTGGAAGCACGACAATTGATAGGGAGATGATGACTTCATTAGATTCGGCTAGACTGTGGCGTTGTTTAATGCTGGGTTATTTGATTGGTAATACCGTGCATAGGTTGTTGATGAGTGCTTTGACCTGCAGTTTAAAGTCCTGTGAACCCATTGGTATGAGCGAGAAGACCGAGGTGGATTTTGGCACTTCTATCCATCATTCGAGGGGTTTTCTGAGGGGTGTTTATTCAGGCATTCGAGGGCCTTCCAAAGGAGCATCATTGGGAGGTAATAGATATGTGGTTTCCGTAGTTGGGGATTACTCTAGGCATTGGTGGGTTGCAACCAAATCCCGTTGGTGTGAAGTCCTAGAAGCTCGCAACAAATGGAGAAAGTGTATTGACAGAAAGGTGAAGGTACTTCAGTCTGATGTTAGAGGGAGGTACAAGAGGGACCTATTTCTGCATTTGTGCCGAGCTCATGGCAATTGGAGACACTTCATTGGTGTGAAAACTTTGAGACGACGGGATGAGATGGCAGATTTAGGGAGCTGTTCCTTTCTGGAGGAGGATCGACGTTTGATGTCGAGCATTGGTATTGGTGTGCGGGCTACGACATGTTTGGACCATCTTATGTATAGGTTGCCGACTGCTGCATGTAGAGATTATGGATCTAGTGGAGCTGCTTCAGATTTTGGGTTGCGTCGGATGTTTAGCTACCCAGCACTTGGTCACATTGGGTTGCGTCGGATGTTTAGCTACCCAGCACTTGGTCACATCGTGGATGTGAGATTTGATCCGATAGCATATTTGGGATTCAAAGGCGGAGATTTGATCCGATAGCATATTTGGGATTCAAAGGCGTGTTTGATTATCAGGTATTGGCTTCTGACTTTATTCTGAGCAGGTATGTCACGTTTGACTCTCGGCAGGTGGAGAGTGGTGATTAGATCATTAGGACATCGCAACGGGTGGAGAGTGATGCTACTCCACATTGGGTGGGAATTTTCCCACATACTCTAGGTCATTCTGCATTGGTTAGGATTCCAGCTGAGGTGACACAGCTTAGGGATCATTTGGATTTAGGTGCAGATGATGAGTTACGTTTTGATTCGAGTGCAGCTGGTAGACATAGTTTGGACATGGCTGTTGGTTCACCTCAGGTGGAGGTGTTTGAGGGCATTGGAGGTGCTATCAGCCGCAGAATTGATGATATTGGAGAAGGGTTACGAACTCTTCTATTGGATTAAGGTCGTTTGCGGCCATTTGGTTGAACTACGTTCGACTTGATTCCTTGGGCAAGAGGATACGTAGGCAGTCTTTCAGATGCAGCCAGTTTGGATTAGTTGATTTTGATGGGGGTGAGACCGATTTGGTGAATAGATACCGACGTTTGGTTGAGTGTTCGCACTCTCGTTTGGGTCTCGACTTGTTGTGGATGGAATCCGTTGTCATGAGTCCGTTGCCATGGCGTACTGGACGTAACAAGTGAGGCATTTTGTGTGGTCAGTGTCGGATCATTTTTGGAAAAACTTCACCGAGGTGGAGAATTGTGAACGCGGAAGTGGGTTTCCAGTGGGGGCCACACACCCACGTAAAGAGATCAAAGCCAAGATCTCGTGAACAGTAGACATACAAAAGCCCACCCGATTCAATTGTATAGCCCCCCTATAAATTCCCATGCTAGGGCTTCGTGAAACGTGAGCAAGTGTAAGGGGGAAAGAAAAAAATCGCAGGCGGCAGACTTTTTTCGGCTGCAGTGACTTCGTGCGAAGGAGGGTGTTTTTGCTGCAGTCGGTTTTTCTCTTTACTTTGGCGGCGTGCAGGTGTAGGCAGAGGGCTGGGTTTGTGAAATTTGCGGCTGATTCGTGCGCAGTACAGCAAAGGGAATTTTGCGGCTTGGCTTGGTGAAAAAGAACAGAGTTTCGGGCAGCGTGCAAAGAGTCCTTTTGTGCTTTTGAGAGAGATTTTGTGTGAGGGATTTGAGAGTTTGTGTGAGGGTTTAGATTCAGTGACTGTAAACCCTAGTTGTATTCTCTCCCTCTATTAGTAGATCTTCCCCCTCCTTGCCCCGTGGACGTAGGCGATTTGCCGAACCACGTAAAATTTATGTTCTTACCGTGATTTATAATAACTTGTAGGATCCCTCAACAGGTCAGTCCTAGAACTGATGAGAGGAAGAACCGATATCTCACTTTGTTGAGATATCTGCTTCAAATTCTTGTTTCCTTGGTGAGACAAGAATTCTTTCGATCTAATCTCTTGTTGTGCATCTTGCGCACTGGATGTGCTGCCGAAATTTCCGCTGCGCACAACAGTTCACCGATGAAATTGGATTTGAGGTACCCACAAGACAAATGCCTAGCAAAAAAAAATGGTGGCAAAAAGGAAAATTTTCATTACCATGAGCAGCGAGTTCATAACATGTCGATCGAGCTTGCTCTGACCACTGAGGATCGCATCCAAAAAGTCATTATTAGTTTCATGACCAAGTTCAGTCTCCTTCAATCTTCCATCTATAAGCTCATCAAAAATGCTATGCAACTTCCTAAAATAGCCCTCAGTCCTCCGCCTCTTCCCTTGCAAATCCAGCCCCCTTACCAACGGGAAAAAATCCGAAACATTCGCAGTGCCGAGCTCCTCCATAATGCCCCACACCAAATCCTTAAACTCCTGCGCAGAATCCGATCCAGCATCGACCATGTCAACCGAGAACAGAGTGTTCGACAGCATATTCAGCACCGTCATGAACGCAGCTCGACCAATATCCACAGCCTCTTTCGCCGTGCTACGCTCTCTCAAATACTCCACCAACTCCCGCACTTTTTTGTGCCTGAGGGCTTTGTTGGAATCTAGCCGTTGCGAGGTAAGAAACTGAGCGCTGCAAATTATTCTCAGATTTTTCCATAGTTGGTTTGCTGGCAACCATGCTACCGACACCTGGTGGTGGTTGGCGGCACGGACGGCGTCCGGCACGGAACGGGCGCAGAATATTTGGTCCTTTTTGATGAGGACTTCGCGTGCGAGGTCGGGAGAGGAGACCACGATGGTGGTGACTTGGCCGAGCTTTAGAGAGATTATTGGGCCGTAGGATTTGGCTAGCTCGGCTAAGGAACGGTGAGCTTTCGCCAGGGCGAAGAGGTTGCCGACGACGGGAGAAGGTTTTGCCGGTGGGAGGTTGGTGCGGGATTTTGGACTGAACTGAAGGTGAAGGAGATCAAAACTAGCCATAGGAGAGACGCTGGCATTGCTCTAGCACCGCCGCTGCTCGTACGAAAACGTATTTGTTAGGTGAATATAAGTTAGTAGGACTAGTTTACATGTCGGATATCAAATTTGTGGGAGATATTTAAGGATTTCAAAGAGTATTTTGCGTACGCGTCTTAGAAAAATTGCCATTCTTTGGTGTAGATTTCATAAGCCTACCGCAGATATTATTAGGCATTTGCACAAAATCAGCGTATGCTAGTCTCGGTAGAGAAAGGTACCATAACTATTAATTAAATCAATAAAGAAAAATATAATATAAGTGCTGCGAAAAACCAAGTGAGCCTCGAAAGGTCACTCCCTATGGCTAGGGCTGAGCATGGTTCGGTTCAAACCGAAAAAACCGACCGAATCGACCTGAACCGACCCGAAAAAAACGGTTTTAAGAGTAAGGCGGTTCGGGTCGGGTTGATAACTTTTCAAACCGACCCGACCCGAACCGACCGAATATATTCCCAAAACTTTCAAACCCGTTCGCGTTTACCCGACTCGTCCCAAACCCTCAACCCTAACTTCATTTCCTCTCATTCCCAAATCCCATCCACCGCTACTCATTCCCAATTTCCCATTTCGCTCGGCCTCAATCCCTCTCTCTCGCTCTCTCTCTTCTTCCTGCTCGGCCTCAATCCCTCTCTCTCGCTCTCTCTCTTCTTCCAAGACCCCGGCCCTTACTCTCAAGGTACATAGTATTAATTTTTCTTCAATTTCCTCTGTTGTTGTCTTTGAATTGAACATGAAGTAGGTGGAATGGGCGCTTCTTGTTGGAGTATGTTAGTGCCGTTTGAGTTGGATTTTCCCCATTTAATCACTCAATTCAGCACTTCTGTGTATGTTGTCTCTTGGGTTAGTTGTTGATTCAAGTGTGCACGACGCTTAAGTATCTTAGCCGTGGCTCAAATGATTTGCATTTGGGCGCATATGAAAACAAATATATACAAATTATCTCTTGGGACAAGCAATTTTTGTGCATTTGATTGTTATACTTGATGAAAGTTAGAACCGAACAAACCGAATCGAACCGCACCGAACCGATTTGCAACGGTTCGGTTCGGTTTTGAATTATAGGTGGTTCGGTTCAGTTGTTCAAATTTTGGTAAAAACCGACCCGAACCGAACCGTGCTCACCCCTACCTATGGCTTCTCGAGCAGATATAGGGCCAATCTTATGCATTTGTTGTGTTTTTATTTTAATTATATCCTCTTAGCATGATTAGCCTCGATGGAGTCTTACATCATTGAATATATTCACCGTGAGCTCCTCGGACAAGTTACTTGTGTGATAGAGATGTCTCCTCAAATCTCTTTTCTTTGTTCTGGAGCTCTATTGTACCTAGCTAGCAAGGTGAAGATTTTCTACTCGATTCTCTTAGGGGGTGTTTGTTTCACTAGTGGGCAAGAATAAGATTAGGAATCCGGTTTTTTTTATGGATTACTACATATTCCATAAAAAAATTTAAGATAAGTTTGTAGATTCATGGAATCATTTTTTTTTTTTTGCATTCTATGTTTGTTTCATAACATGGAAAAATAGAATCCAACTTCATAGAATCCCTCTGATTCCTAATCTCTAGTTTGAGTTGTACTGAAGTATATACTATTGTTACTATGTGTATATATTTTTTTAAGAAAATCATCTTCATACTTTTTAAATAGAATAGAATATTCTAACCTCTGATATTATAAAAATTAAATATAGCCAATTGAATGATTAGCAAAAGATAACTTACATCAGAAAAGTGTGAATAATAAGATAAAAAGGAAAGTTAATGACATTGCCAATAGTACTATAAATAGTAAACTATAATGTAAAGTTAACTTATTTTTTGGAGCCCAACTACTGGCTATAAGCATTGAGGTTTTCAAATATATACTTTATAATTTATTAAAAATGGTCATATAATCTTATATAATAAAATTAATTTAATATTGAATAGTAATATCATTGTAAAAATATTATTATTGGAAAATATTTTTCATGAATCGATATGCTCTTTACGATATATAAGCTATGCACTCTAACATGTTGCTCTCACAACAGCAAAATCCACTTAGGAGATATGGATATTTTACACTAGTAGAAAAGTGACCAATCTAGACGGAACAACCAAGACGAAATTTTTTTTCGTCTAGGTTGAATCAAACTAGACGGAAATTTTCCGTCTAGGTTGATCCGTCTAGTTTGGGTCAAACTAGACGGAAAATTCCGTCTAGTTTGACAAACGAGACGGAAAAGTCAACTTAGACGGAATTCCGTCTAGGTTGCCTAGGGCAACTTAATGCCCTAATTCCAGCCGTCAGGCCCCTATC